GAGAGAGAGAGAGAGAGAGGAGAGAGAGAGAGAGAGAGAGAGAGAGAGAGAGAGAGAGAGAGAGAGACAGTTATATAGTGAAAGAGAGGGAGAGAGAGACAGTTATATAGTGAAAGAGAGGGAGAGAGAGACAGTTATATAGTGAAAGAGAGGAGAGAGAGAGAGGAAGAGAGAGACAAGTTATATAGTGAAAGAGAGAGAGAGGGATAGAGGCAAGGCAGTAGCAGAACAAGGAGAACAACATGACTCAACAAAAAGTCCAAAGCCGGGACGTTGCAGCTCTCTGATGTCTGCCGATTGACCACTGTCTTATTAGCTATTCGCATGACGACCGTGTAAGACTTCTACGAGAAACGTCTGCTGTCTAGATTTCCTGAATGTGCCAGATGTAGGGGAGTCCATCTGCAGGGAAAGAGAAATGTCACGACTTGTCATCTTCACCTACTGAGAACCTAAAGGTACTGCCGGGCGCCGAAGAACGGAGCGCCAAAGAATGAACAAGGTAGGATTTCACCAAGCACAACATACCAATGTATGTATGGTGACTCAACTGTGCATAGAGTGTAGTAAATTGAAATAAATACCAGCCTACGCTGCGAGGCTAAAACCCCATTTCTGCAAGAAACCGAAACGCTAATCATGTCTTGAAAACACAAAAAAAGGTACAGGCCGACTGTCAAAGTTTGAGGGAACTGTAAAATGTCAACTATGTCTGAAGTCCACGTACATTTAAAAGTATCTGGCATTCCCCAAACTTGCAAAATGAAATTTAGATTGAATAAATGGAGTGATGACCTACCGTGGGTGGTTGTCCAAACGTATCGTCTACTCCAGGCCTTGGTATGGCAACTCCATCGTACAGAGGGTCTCCATCTTCAAAGGGACTCGCTTCAAAGGGACTGCCGAGACTTCCCTGTGGGTAGATCAGCACAAGCGATGCACAGAATCAATTCCAAGGAGAAGAACTGTGATGCTTATTGTAGCTTTGTGCCAGCCCAATGGCCTTGCTTTTGTAGTTCATTCCCATTCCAAACAGCTACCGAGTCGGAGCGCAGGGAAGCAGTGAAGAGAATGGGGAAGGGGATTCCCCTGAACTCTTGCGTAATCTAGTGATTCGTAACATGCAAGGGGAGAAGTGGATAATTCAGTTTCCACGGTGATCAAAAAAAGAAGAGGTTGGTGCGACTTCGGAGATACTGGGGGAATTGTGTGTTGCTCCCTGCATAGGAGCTCGCACTATTCCTGCCGACTTGAATTCTCACTTGACTGACTCACGACTGCCATCTAGAGCACACGAGAAGTTCATCGAACAGTCCGGCGCTCCCATGCAGGGAGCAACATACAATTCCCCGAGTTAAAAAAGAAAGAAACTGCAGGAAGCCTCACCACTGCTACTAAGTTTTAAAAAAAGCTGAGTAAAACATTGATCAGTCACTGCTTGAATCACAGCTACACTTCACATGCGGCCTGTACTCTAGCGTGTTAGCACCATTTGCCGTGTGATCTGAATGTACATGTACAGGCTCGTGCGCCGGTGCACTTCAAGGGGGGGCCCTCCCCGGGGAACATTTTCAAAAAATGAAGCAAAATCCTGCATTTTGAGCGAAAAAAGGGGGGTTCCGGGCACCCAGGAACCCATACGGGGCACGCGCCTGATGTAGGTGCCTGATGTAGGTGCCTGATGTAGGTGCCTGATGTAGGTGCCTGATGTAGGTGCCTGATGTAGGTGCCTGATGTAGGTGCCTGATGTAGGTGCCTGATGTAGGTGCCTGATGTAGGTGCCTGATGTAGGTGCCTGATGTAGGTGCCTGATGTAGGTGCCTGATGTAGGTGCCTGATGTAGGTGCCTGATGTAGGTGCCTAGCTTCTTTTACCGAAACTACCGAAACTTAACTACTGTAAACTGACTAATATTTGCGACAGATTAATGCTTGCTATTTTCGCTGTGGATCCGTAGGTCGCTAGTTTCGGAGGATCTCCGCATCCGGCTCTATAATGCCTTTGTACTCCCTGTACTCTGCTACAATTGTGCAACATGGGCACCAACGAAACAGCAGCTGAGCCGTATTGAGGCCTTCCACCGAAAACAGCTGCGGGCGCTAATCGGCATTGTGTTCCCGAATCGGATTAGAACGAGAGGCTCTATGAGCGTACCGGCACGGTTCCTCTCGGCATTATCATCTTGAGAGCTAGGTGGAGGCTCTTTGGGCACGTCCTCCGGCTCCCGGCTGACTCCCCGCCATCACTGGCCATGGGAGCGTACTTCGCAGAGCCTCGTCCAGCAGGCTGGAGGGGACGACCAAGACACACACTACCAACGCTACTACAAGATGATGCCAAGCGGATTGGACTTTCCTTGTCAAGCAAAGTCGATCTGGAGGCGTTCCGTGCCCTTGCTGCTGACCGAAGCGGTTGGGTGGGCATCTGTGCCCGAGTGGTGTCGGCACCCTAGTTTTTGTCTTCTTTTCGCATATTTCTTCTTTTTCTGAAACTGTTATGGTCTTTTGTATCTATTCGAAGTGGCTTATGCGAACATTTTTGGCTGGTTTGCATGATTTGCATGCCCATTAATGCAGCTGCAGGCCATGCTGATGTCTACGCGAACAAGCACATAATAATAATAATAATTTTCGCGAGAAGAGCGTCACGCGAATATTAACCATCGCGAAATCAAACTTCAACAGTGGGTGTATGTAGGTGGCCCCGGTGCTTCGCGAACTCTTGCCATCGCAAACTCGCCGGTTCTAAGAGATCGCGAAAATTTAGTGACGCGAATATTGAGCAGTTTACAGTCAGTATCACCGAAAATAATTGCTATACAGCATGGTTACCTGCTGGATCACATGGTTACCTGCTGGATCACATGGTTACCTGCTGGATCACATGGTTACCTGCTGGATCACATCAAACTCACCCCACTATCAGTGATATCATGTTCATCCCCCCAGGGTGAGTAGATAGAATAGGCAGAGTGCTCGTCAATATGGGGTCCGTTGGACGTATCCTCGTAGAAAATTTCCGGCTGACTCTGCAATGAGTACAGGCATGCAGCAATAGTACGCGCGCACACACACGCACACACACACACACACACACACACACACACACACACACACACACATACACACAAACACACACATACACACACACACACACCACCACCACCACCACCACCACCACCACCGTATGATACACGCACGCACACACGCTCGCACATGCACACACACACACACACACACACACACACACACACACACACACACACACACACACACACACACACACACACACACACACACACACTTTGATAGCGCACCACCCTACAATTTTTTCATTTTGTTGTGGTCTCGAGTTTACACAACCAAAATGCGATCACACATCGATCATTTCGGGTGCTCGCTGCACCCTTACGTTGCATTTTGTACGACAAGGCAATCACAGTTAGCGGTGCATGGAAATGGAAATGGGTGGACTGTTTGCTTCCCCATGCCCCCCTCCCCCCTACAATATTTTCAATGGCAAAACCCTGCTGGTCTATGTGTACCATTTCTTTAAAAGGTTCAAAAGCAATGCAGTAGCCATTTCATCACATTGTCAGGGAAACGGACTACGCCTTCACAAATGAAATGGCTCTCTTCGTCACAAACCTATACAATTTCAATACAATTTTCAATCGGCAGCCATTATAGGGATTTTACACATACCGTAAAAACCTGCCATAACCGTACGCCCGTGGTGCAGCGAAAACTGCCCTAGCATGACAGGAACCCCCTTGATCCAGGGATGCACGTTCGATCCGCAGCACGGTGGTGTATGAAAGTTTGTTCGAGCATACAGGATTCTGTTTGGTACAGGGTCCGGCAAACATAGGGTTAACTATATGCACAATGACGCTGATGTCAGAATTGTGCGTTGCATCTCCGCGTTCCCGACAGCTCTATGCACGGGTAGAGACCAACCTCTCAAGCAGGAACGTGCCTTCTGCATAGCATGCCCTGATTGAAGTACCACTCAAATTGCAACCTGACAGCCTAGGCCTTTTTCATGATACCAGAAGAATAATGCGAAGATGCATTTTCACAAAAGCAATGAAGAAAACACGCCCTTGTCTTCAAACAAATGCAGCTCCTCTTTGTGGGCCGAAGGCTTTTTTATTTTATTTTACAAATGAAACGATCCTTGCTATTAGTCAGAGGAGGGAAACAACACTAAGAAAGAGGAAAAAAGGACACGACAAACTGCTAATTGTAGGGCTTACCGTCCGCCTTTCAACAGGCAGTGAACACGTGGTTGGTCTTGGTTGACTGCTGCCGCGACAGGACTGCACACTTTTCACCCTTCTTCGATTCTCAATCTGTGGTTTTATAAATACGAGTAAACAACAAACATCTTTCACAATTGTTGGCAGCTAGGGCAGCTTGAAAGACGACTGCACGATTCAACAGTAAGCAAAGTGGTCTGTAGAACACTGTCTGGTGCTGAAGAACAACCAGGCTAGATATTCACCAAGCACGCATACCAATGAATACACAGTGACTCAACTGTCCATACACCGTAGCCCATGAACGCAGGAACGGCCTTGGATAAGAGCCCCCCCCTTCCCCCCCCCCGTTCTTCGGGACTGACAGTGCTGTATGCAAGCATACAGGATATGACAGGTTGTTCAGTTCTGTGCTCAATTACAATGTAAACGCACACGGATCGAGGATCAGACAGAGCTCAACACTTTGTTCAAAGCAAGCTTTTAAATCGGTAGCTTGTGCATGAGCTCTTCTCAGTCATGTGACATCCCAGCTGGGGCTGGTGGGAAGGCAAATGTGATCACTCCAGCACCCACAGGCAAAACCATAATACAAACATGTGCGCAAATAACAATAATTATTGTCTTTCTTCTTGTGCAGCAGGCCTGCACACACTGCATGTCTGTAGCTGTTGTGCTTGGTTGTGACTCAGTATGCAGGTTGATGCACGGGCAAACAATTTGAAGCTGAGAAACCGAATTTTATACACTGGAGGAGGGGCACATCTAATCATTCCCACCCTGTCTTGGCTGGGCTAGCTGACTTGCTCACAGGTGAACAGCTGGCAAGGTGCATCTGGGAATGGGGCATTTGCGCCAATAGACTCTAAGCTCCGTGTGCGCTTACATGTGCACTGTACTGACCAGGATCTCAGTTGCCAGAAGCCGAGATTCCAGTTGCCAAAACAAGCCACTTTCAAGTGAGTTACTGCGCACAAGAGTTTTGGTGCAATGGAAACCAATCAGGATGTGGAGTGGTAGGGAGATGTGCCCATATCTGAGCCATCCAGATAAGAGACATTGTGTGCATGAACACGTGAGTCTTACATGGAGCCACTATCACTCGATTCCTCACAGCTCAAAATAGCAGAACTGGTAGCTTAATCGAAGTCACGAGGATTTTTTCATCTTCGACGGAAAAAAAACATCCCTCACCTGATTTGGTGACGAAGGCCTCAAGAAGGAGACACTGCTGCCGTTGCTAGCGCTGCCAGGTGTCAGGGAAGATTGGGTGTGCAAGACATCACTGAAACCTTGTTCAGGACTTTTCATGTCGTCGATGCCTTGATAGATCTCATTAGTGTATTCAGTTAGGCCAAATGTATCTTGTTCCTCTTCCATTGCGGAAGAAAAACATATGCACATTTACACACACACAAACACACACACAGACACACACACACGCACGCGCGCGCACACACATAAACGCAGATGAACACATATGCACAAAAAGTCAAAACACATACTCAGACACACATGGACCTGCACACACATGCTCACTCACTCCCCCACCAGCACGCATAAACACATGAACACACACACACACACACACACACACACACACACACACACACACACACACACACACACACACACACACACACACACACACACACACACACACACACATGAACACACACATATGCGTGCACATGCACGCACACACACACACACAAACACACACACACCTCAGACCTCAGACATGCCCATCGCGGAAGCGATGATAGCGAACAGCTATGTTAGACATAGCAACTTGTGCTGGGATTACACCATTCAACAGCTTGCAAGGCTGATGAATTGACCGCCACTATTTTTTAGCCTGGTATCCACCACACGGCTGTTTGAAGTGACTTTTTTCTGGCCAGTGAATCCCTATTTTTCATTTTTCCATTTTTCCTTTTTTTCCACACACACACTACACCACATACTCCGGCACACACTGGCTGTTGGTAACCACCCAAGAGAATGAAAGAAAAGTCAGAAAGAGTCCGAGAAAGAGAAGAAAGACGTGTGCGACCATATTCGTCGGGAATTGAACCCGCAACCTCTCGATTGGAAATCGACTGCACATACCACTGCACCATATGGGACAAACACACACACACACACACACACACATACACACACACACACACACACACACACACACACACACATACACAGTGGGAGACACACACACGTACCATAACAGATGCTACAGCCTTGAACGCATACAGGCAAGGCCACATTGTGCACAGTATGGGCACAAGCAGCTGGACTCAAGCTGCTTTGCTGCATTCCTCACTCGGGCTAGGAATTCAGGGGAGTCGCACACGCTGCGGTGACTATGGTGTCCAGTCTATTGTGCCACTATCTACCCCAGGTATCCCGTGAATCGAAAAATGCAATGAACTGCGTGCCAAATTTCAAAACATGTCCAGAGGAGGCACCCCAGCACCACGAGTAAATTGTACTTCAGGTGGACGATTGTACCACCCTAACAACGTGTACCTTCTCACGACCTGGATTTGAATAGCAATATAGCAACAACTTTGGAAGCGGAAGGATTTTTCCAGCCGTGCCGCGACCCACAGTTAATTGGGAACTCGTGACCTGGCTCGAGGGAAGCATGGATGCAGCGAATGGGATTTTCGGTCTTTGACCACTTTGTGGTGGGTCTGATCTACTCACCTCCCACCAGTTTTTGGAACTGCATGTGCGCCTTCATCCGCAGAGTGTGGTAGCGTCCCTATGGATGCGAAAGACTCGCCCTCACAGGGTGGCGCCACTGGTATGGCCGGCATGGCCATGGCCGTACCAACTTTCCAAAAAGTCGGTCCACGTGGAACGTCCAAAACCGGGGAGAAAATGTTTCGATGTATGATTTTGTACGGAGAGTCGCCCAGAGTGCAGGATTTGCCGTATAAATTGCACAAATTTTCTGGGCCACGACCCCCAGACCCCCTTAAAGATGGCCTTCGGCCGCACCGCTCCGCGGAAGCCGCCTCCGGCCCTGCCTCTAGCCAAGTCTAACGCGAACCGTGAATTTTTTTAATTTTTAAAGTAAGAACTGGGCCGGGTGCGGAAATGTTCAAAGCAGTTGCTCAACTTACGTGCACCATTGATGAAGGTGTTGACGGACGGGGATATACACACCATGTTGTACTGGTTGGAGACCTGCACGGATGTCTTGGGCATTGCGGCAGTGAGCGGTTTCGTCTTGGTGTCTAGGGTGATAGCGCCTTGCCGTTTCTTTCTCTTGGTCAAGATTGCTGCCACTGCGGCCAAGGCCAGGAGAAGACATATGCCAGCACCAGTTCCGCCGATAATCACACCAAGGTTTTTCTTCGTATTCCTGCCTCGCCCCGCAGAGTCGCTGTCAGTTTGCGCGCTGCCGTTGGTTGCCGTGTTTTCCGTAGGCTGTTGAGTGGAAGAGTAAGGTGGCGGACTGTGTGCAAGCGCAGTGGAACCATCTGCTCTCTTCGGTGTGGGACTAAGCGTCGGATTCGGATTTATAGGGGTTGCGGGTTGTGCCGGGTTGTTTTTAGGTGCTGCGGTTGGTGTTGGGGTTGGTGTAGTGGTTGGTGTGGTTGTCGGCGTGGTGGTCGGTGTCGTGGTTGGTGTGGTAGGTGGTGTAGTGGTTGGTATGGTTGTTGGTGTAGTGGTTGGTGTGGTTGTCGGTGTAGTTGTCGGTGTGGTTGTCGGTGTGGTAGTTGGTGTGGTGGTTGGTGTGGTAGTCGGTGTGGTGGTTGGTGTAGTTGTCGGGGTAGTTGTTGGTGTGGTTGTCGGTGTAGTTGCCGGGATGGTTGTCGGTGTGGTTGTCGGTGTGGTTGTCGGTGTGGTTGTCGGTGTGGTGGTTGGTGTTGTAGTTGGTGTAGTGGTTGGTGTGGTGGTTGTTGGGGCTTCTTCCGGAGCTGGTTCAGTCATTGGTGGCACTTTTACTGTGATCGGATCATTGACAGGAGGTGAGGCCAGAGCAGAGGGGGCCGTAGTAGCTGCATTCTCCGTGTCTGGAAAAGGACAGGGAAAGAGGCCATGGTAAGAAACCTTGCACTCTAAATTGGTCAAGTAGCTAAAAACACCATGCTCGGTTGAAGAGTGCCCCAGGCTTTTTAATTTTTTTTATTAATCGGCCATTACAGATGAGACACCAATCAAGTAAACCCAATTTCAGAGAGTGCACCATTTTTCAATGCTGGTACATATACACGATCAGCACTAAACAAATGCCTGCGTCCTCTGCTTCGCGCCTTTCTCCCTCTAAATTTGTCAACTGAAAGCCGAAACTCAACAAACAAAAGCTAAAAATCACAAGAGTAAGGGATCTCGACCCCGGTCTCAATCTAATTATCTCCCGCCACTCACAACACACTTTGGGGTTTTGGGGTTTTTCTTTGCAGATTTACCATCTCGAACGTCGGCCCGTTAGTCCTACTTCTGTAACGCTTTTTTTTCACAGCTGGGAATGAGTACCGTAAAAGTTGACGTTATCACGCTTTTGCTTAGGATCTCTTTTAAAAGTAGATACATGCATGTACCACCTTCCATTCTTCCCTCTCGATATTTCTACTTTGTACTGTTGAGACAACGAACTGAAATAATAAAAACCAAACCAAACCAACCTTTAACCATAACCATAACCATATTGGTCGTAGGGGCATGGAATTATCATTGGCAATAGAATGAACCACGTACACTCATAATCAAAAAAGTTGACGTTATCACGCTTTTACTTAGGATCTCTTTTAAAAGTATGTGCATGCATGTATCACCAATAACCATATTGGTCGTAGGGGCATTGAATTGTCATTGGCAATAAAATAAACTACATACTCTCATAATCAAGTTGTGTATATTCAAGGCGCTCAGCAGCAGCTGGGGCGAGAAGGGAGGGAGGGAGGGAGGGAGAGAGGGGGGGGGGGGGGGGGTAGAGAGAGAGCACAGCATGACATGCATGAGTACGAGATGTTAACCTACCTGGGCAGCACCTGATTTTCATCTCTGATACATCTGTTTCGGCTTCCGTGCCTTCAACACGGATCTGTCGATGCAGAACACAATGAAATGAAACCCGGAAATCCAGATTTTGGAATACTGGTTTGTTTGCGATATGCAGAGCTCACTGACTTGTCAGTTTGAGCAGTCTGGCAAGGTACGTTCACGCCTTCCTTAAATCTGGCTTGGAAATAAATGTGTCATTGCTCTCAGGTTTGGCCTCATTTTCTCTGTGCTGCGCAGATCAGTCCACAAAGGATGAAACAGTTCCGTCCGCAGATGGAGGAATACTGGTGTAAAGAAGTATATCACAAATCTACAATGTTGTTATTATGTTGTGTGGTCATGTCTGCATCAGTCGTACTACTAATATTGCTCTTATCAAATTGCTTTTCCCATGCCAACTTTTCATACTGAAATCCAAATGTTTTTCAGAATTTGTTAGTGTCCTTGACAGATAAAATCAATGATTGCCCAAAAAGAAATTCTCCAAATTGCCTGATGTTCGCGCAAGGCATTGGTTTGAGCAGGTTCAGATAATCCTTAACCTCCCGGGCGAATTTGCCCACTCTAATTGTATTTTTTCCTGTTTGCGTCTTTCCCTCAAACCAAGACTAATTGTACCTCTTTTCGTATGTGTTCCTATTTTTACATCGCAAGTCAAACGGGACATCAGTGTGTTCCGGGTGTATGTGTTGTATCCATGGCCTTGCGACTTGCTCGTCTTGTCCAGGTAGACCGCTGAAAACTTAAAATTAAGACTCCTGCCTATACTGACTGTTAACTTAGTGTATAACAGGATCAGGGGAGTTATGCTTTTCCGGAGACGAGTGTCACCCGGCATGGCTTACCGTAAACTTTGCGGTTAAGACGACCTCGGTTATAAGTCGACCCAAATTGATACTTTGGACCTCGATATACCGGTTCTATATCAAGATGATCAATAGCGGTTCAATCCCAGTTGTAAGTCAACTACGCTTTATTAAAATCGGATTTTAGGTCATAAACAGCAAACTTAGAACCGGAAAAGTACTGTACTTGTAAAATATGATGCATACTTTCCCCAAAAAATTCCAAACCACTATAGCTGTGTACATAACTCCACGACCGGTTAGATTTTCACTCTAGGATGCCATTTACGTAAAAATTGCTATACCTGGGGCTATTTCCGTTACAAGTGATGCACTTCTTCTCAAGTGGTTCTTTATGGAGTAGAGGAGGCAGCATATCTGCCCAAAGCCAAAGCAGCTTTTAGAAATGCATTGCCGGCATATTTTCTATGCTGGGAAGCGGAAAGATTTTTTCCAGGGTGCTGCAACCCACAGCTACGGTAACTGGCAAGTCGTGGCCGAAGCATGGATGCAGCGAATAGGGTTTTCGGGCTTTTACCACTTTTGGTGGTGGGTGTGATCTACTCACCTCCCATGGCCTGTAAAAGCTGCATCCGGGCCTTCATCCTTGAGGGTGGAGGCATTCCTGCCGGTGCGGAAAACTCGGTTTCTAGCCGAGTCCCACGCAAAGCGTGGTTTGTTGTTGTTATAAAAGCTATACATTGAAACTAGTCGAAGGCGACCGCTCAAGGGACGTTCAAAAGGTGGTCACTGTTCCCAGATGGTCTCCTTATTATCCAGTGCCATTTTACCTGTGGAGTTGGCATCCCTGGCCGTCCTGGTTGCAGTGGTCGCATTATCCGAGTGGTCGCATTATCCGAGTGGTCGCATTATCCGAGTGGTCGCATTATCCGAGTGGTCGCCTTGATAGGTTTTACTGTAGTCGCTGACGATATCTATAACTACAACTCGGAGAAATGTCCCTCCCCATAGAATGAATTTTAAAAATTGCTAAAACCTCTCGACGACGTCTCTTTGCATGATATTGTGTTGCCTGGATTTGCCACTACGTACATGCACTAGGTCTATGGAGAAGGTAGGTAAAGTCCCTGGCTCCTGGAATGCAGAGTGCTATGTTCACTGCTGACATTCCCTCGCTAGATATAGGCCAGATTCTGAACGGGATAACACACGTTTAATGGCTAGAATTCAGCTCGTGGTAACAGCATCAACGATAATACCGTACGCGCTCGAATACAAGCCCCCTTTGAAGAGAGTTCCCATTTAAATAGAGAGAGGGAATCGAAATAATAAAGCCCCGTCTCGTAAAAAATCCCGGGGCTATAATTGAGCGAGCAAAGTCCGTACGATGCAGTGCAGTACATGAACCATACAGTCTGCACGTGCAATATGGTGCACTTATTGCACACAAACTGCAGCCATGGGTACCTGCCATACAACGATTGAGTGCCGTCACTGCATGTCCTGCTCATTAGTGATAATGTGAAGCAATTGATGGTTGCGCGTATGCAATGCACTGGACATAGCCTTGCATTTTTCGCCATTACTTTGCCTGACAAAGACCTCACCTCAACAATTGTTTCAAGAAATTTCTCAACCAAGCGCACTTTTGCAGCACGATTTCTTGGGTCCTACCGGTAGGACGGCATGCAAGCTATCATTAAAAAATAAAGACCCCTCTCCAATAGAGCCCTCTCTCGAATATAGCCCCCCCCCCCCCTCTCCATGTGTATTCTGGAAAACAAGAGCCCCGGGGCTTCTATTTGTGCTTACTGTAAAAGCCATATATAATAACAAAGTGCTAACTCTAACGAGTTAACGAGGAGGAGTCTGTCGTTAAAATAGAAATCGTTATACAGAAATCGACACATACACTGTCCTATTGAGCGTTGAGAATCAGTGAGAATCGTTACCTTTGGTACACGTAAACTAGTCAATTTTGGGAAATCGTTATATATGCGCCTCGTTAGAATACTGGCTTTTACAGTATACCGTATACTATAAAGGGATCCTTACTGAGAATTGGTTTGAGGTGAGTCTAAAGTTCCTGTTTATTGTAGCGAAGAAAGGACAACCCGAGTCTGAGCAATTCCATATTGGGTGAATGTGTGCAGATGGACCAAACTCTAGGGTAATATTAATATCGCCGCCTGCAAAACAGAACGCAGAAGAGCATTGTCATTCTTATTAGCAAAGCTATTACTATAGAATGAAGAGTAGCCCAGCATCCATGTGTGTGTGCATGCGCGCGTGTGCATATGTCTGTGTGTCTGTGTCTGTGTCTGTGTGCGCACACGCGTGATTGTGTGCGTGTTTGTGTGTCTGTGTGTGTTTCGGTGTGCGTGCGTGTGTTTCTGTGTTTGTGTTTGTTGGTGTGTGTGTGGGGGGGTGGGGGTGGGGGGGGGGGGAGTGCTTGTGTGAGTGTGTGCGAGTATTGTTTGCGCTTAAGTGGGCGCATGGACGGAAGGGGGTGAAACTAGTGCTAAAACGATTATATCGATTACTCGTTGCTTACTCGATAAGAAATAGATCGAGCGGTCAGGGGACATTCTGCCATGAAGTTTGTTGTTGCCAAGAAACAAGAAAGAAAATGCATTTTTCGCTACAGGTTGTGAGTTTTACTTTTTAGGGTCTTCGCCATTGCCAGCCACTGGCTATGCAACTCTGTCGTTGTTGCTGTGTTGTATGGGCGGAGCACAAAGACTTCCCCTAATTGTTCCGGGCGGTCTTACAACGCAATCTTGTGATTTACACCAGTTGAACTAACGCTGGCAGAATAATTTTGCCAAGGAAGGAGAACGAATTAGGTGGAGAGAAAGGGCAACTTTCTGGCAACAAGAAAAATGTGCCAATAACAAATCTGGAACTGCTACATGTTAGCGCCACAGCGTGAAGGCCTGACTACTAGACAATCTAGCTTGTTGGCCATTGGCCATCATGGAAAAGATAAACTGTTTTCAGATAAGTTTATAACGGGTATTACAGTCAGACCTCGCTTAACCGCACACATTGGTTTCCCACAGAAAAAAATATCCGGATAGGCGAGGGAACTGGATAATCGAAAACACATACAGTATGAATGCATGGTACATGCTGTAAATCGATAACCAACGATTTTCTCGCGGATGGTGAGGGATCCGGATATAAGAGGATCGGATAAGCGAGGTCTGACTGTACCATGAAGTACCGCAAGCTCTCCCCACCAACTTGTCCTTTCTTGGCCATATTGTGGAGGTGGTGTCCTGTCTAGTACGCCATAGGTCATACGATACAAATCTTGTACACACACTGCGTGGCATTTGCAGTCAATCCGTACTCAATCTACGTTCGAGCGGACACAAACTCCACAAGAAAAAACGCTAAGTGTGACCTTGGGACGCGAGAGTTCTCACACAGTACACACTTCGTTACACTCTGCTGTAAGACTTTCCTTTCCCTGGCTGTAATTTCAAGGTAAATGGGGCGCTCCGGTGTACAATATTTTGGGGCCGCTTGTGTACGCAGCGTACATTTGTGAATTTCTGAGCTGGGGGGAGGCATTATTTCAGCTTACCGAGTATGCTGATGAAAGGTACGAATGAGATATCGCAGTTCCTGTCCTCTTCAGCCGTAGATATCTGAAGGGATCTATAGGTCGCTGATTTAGTACGGTCACCTGAATACACAACACAAGATTGAAGGCGCAGCAGGACAGGGGTGTAGGCATGCACAGCAGGTCTGGCTGCCGCTGGATCAATGCTCTCCACAAACACGGACTGTGACTGGACATCGACAGGTGTCGAATATTGGCGACAGAACGTGAGAAGTGCGGCTCATCAGAGACTCATGGATTATCTGGTGGTATGCATAGAGGCATGCGGTGATATCCCCTAGACATCACCCAATATAGACTAGGCACAGCCATTCGAAATCTTGAAACACTCCACCACTTCACATAGGGCTCTTGCACTCATCTACCCAAGAACGAATTTCCTCGCTACTAGTAGCGTTGTGTTGTGAATGTGGGCCAATCAGCGCAATGTGAAGCGGTGGAGTGTTTCAGCACAGTATAAGAGAGAACGAGAGAGCTTGAAATCTCAGTGCCCTACGCTACGGTTGTGTTTGCCTAGCTCTTCAAGAATGTTATTCGATCTGATGGAAACGTTTTTGCAATACAATGATGTCGCCATACATCCTGTACACACACCTTGTACACACACTCTCTAACGGTCTCTAGGCTACACTGCAATTGATATACATTAGATCAAATTTCCGGGCCTTGCCCGAAAATTTGAGCTAATGTATATCAAATGCAGTGTAGCCTAGAGACCGTTAGAGAGTGTGTGTGCAAGGTTGTGTGCAGGATGTATGGATTCAAGTATTGGCTACAGTGGAGTCTCCAAACCTTGAGAAAAATGATAGAGCCGATCAGTTTTAATAGGGCGACTCTCCAGGCGGCGGGACCTCTCTTCTTCCATCTTCTACTCTCTGTGTAGTCACACCTGCCGACGCCGTCTACTCAGAGCTTCAACACTGTCGCCCAAGCTGTTATTGGACTCCCTCATTGTCATCTGTTAACGATCTCAGCATTCTCTTTAAACAACAAATGCGCCTATTAAAACACAGCAATCCACCCGATCTTTACATTCCCGGCCCATTGGCAGCACACCCAAAAACATTCGAACGACAATGCGACGGCCCTATGCCTACGGACCGCAGTCACCGCACACCGAACAAGTTCGGGCATGATTACTTCTTTTCTCCTGCCGACTGGATGCCTGTTCAGTGGTCTCTTGCTGTCGACGCATCTTTTCACGAAGTCCGCGAGTCTCCAAACGACGGGAAACTTGCTCCGTTGTTTCTTAGCCTTTCGCAGGCATCTTCTACTCTCTGTGTAGGCACTCCTGCCGACGCCTTCTGCGCTGATACATTCCCGGCAGCACACCCAAAAACATTCGAGCAATATTGCGATAATACTACACCGTCTACAACCTTGATGACCGAGGCAAAAAAAAGCATAGGGATGTTATAACTTGTTCATTTCTCCTATTTTTCAAGACATTACATGGCGTTCGAACCCGCTCTGCATTCGTTCCCGCAATACACATTCTTCGAAGTTGCTTCACGTTATGATCTGGCAGTTGAAAGCCCTATTTGAATAAGGTGGACAGCTGTCTTTGATGGTACGGGACGTGTACGGGATAGCACCGGGCATGCCGACATCGTCAGACACAAACAAACAAACAAACGGAATTAAAGCTGTGTAGACCCTGGCTAGCACCAGACGTTGCTGAAGAAACGTCTTCTGCATAGCCACAGGAATTCGAAATAAACTTAGTCTCACCTGGTACCTGAGACCATTCCTCGTGAGGGGACGCCCCACTCCACGTTAATTGCCCATTTTCATTTTTGAGAAGAATTTTTACGGGGATAGAATCTTCGTTAGACACTTTGCAGTTTCCATTTGCTTCGGGAACCAACGAAACTGGTGCAGACAACAGCAGAAAGGTTTGAGCAGTTCAGAAAAGAAACACGATCACTCAGTGCATGCATGGCACAGTTACATTTCCCATAGTGGTCGAAACAGCGCTGTACGGAGGAAAAACTATTTGTGAGTATCTACATATCTACAACTTGGAGTCATATAATTTTTCCTTTTCTTCTTTTGGTCCTTTCTGTCTTATATTACTATCATTTCTTGTTTTCCCTTGCATATTATCCCTTCGACATTCTGTGAGAACCTGTCCTATGGACAGGTGAGAAGGCATCTCTGCCTGTTCATTTGATGAAGTAAAATAAACAACAACAACTTGGAGTCATGTTGCTGGTGTGTGAGGTCGGCCGGAGAGCGCGTTTGCTGGAGGTGGAATTACTTTATTGATGAACAGGCAAAAAGCTGCTAGTTACCCTTTGAGGACAGGTATGGTTCCCTGAACTAAGTTGTTGTTGTTTATTTTACTTCACCAAATGAACAGGCAGAGATGCCTTCTCACCTGCCCATAGGACAGGTTCTCACAAACAGTGAATGAGATTGCTACTGTAAAACCGGAAAGTTTAACGAGTCACAAAGTCTAACGTTTCAACGACCTTTTTTTTTTCGTTATTCGAAAAAAAACCTCATCGCTAGATGTCTGTGTAAAGATGCGCATACAGATGGGTGGCCAGGTAGCCATCGTTAAACTTTCTTCACGTGATCATGCCACAATTACAAAAACTTTATACTTTTTGGTCGTTAAACTTTCCAGTTTAATAGTACACCTTTTCAAGTAGAGTGAAATCTCTTTAGAATGAACACCAAGGGACTGATTGCATTTGTTCGGAACAACGAGATTATCCATAGTTACACCCAGTGAATACTTGTGGCTGAAACGAACCCCAATGGAGGCCAGAGGAACATTCTGACACACTGTACTCTTCGCTTGACGAACTCACGAACCGTTCTTTATAAATATAGCCCCCGCAAACGTCCACACAAGCACTACATCACATTCGAAAAAGTAACCAAGAAATCATTTTCTTTTTGAATAGCTGTTACCTGTGACGGGGATCTGGGATCGAGGGTGGCTGGATGAGCTATATGCATGTACTTTGTTATTTGCAGTACAAACATTCAGCTGCATGTACCTACTCATGCATCGACAAACGTTCTACACCTTGAAATAGAGAATCAACTTATCTTTAACTCCCATTAAATGGAGGTAACCTATTCGAACGTTCACCTCTAGCACTGAATACACGGATATTTATGGAAGAGAGTTATGACTGCAGCCTCTTCTAAAGCGAAACTTTGTCTTCTTCTTAACGAGGTTTTGTCACATGTCGAATGCCAAGGTGTACGCCTCAACGCGACAAGGCCCAGTCAGCACTACCTGTCGCAGACGTCGGCGGCTCTGGCTGGGCCATGTTGTTCGCGAAGGACGTAACTCAGCGTCCTACCAAGCACTGGAGATGGCAATTAATACCCGGGACATCAAGCGCCCACGTGGCCGACCCCATCTCAGATGGATTGACAATATTAAAAGTGATCTAAAGAACGCCAATATTGATATTTCTGACTGTTTTGAACCGGCTCTAGACAAGAAAGAATGGCTGATGCTTGTGGAAAAATGTGCTGCGCTTGCGTAGTTGTTCTTACTGCGATACGTTCTAACAATAATGAGATGCCTTTTGTCGGCTCTTCTGCCTGGATTTCGTTGACAGATGCGTTAAGCCCATGGATCCTTCCATGAGTGACATGCGAACTGTAACTATTATTATTATTAACGAGGTTTCGCTGCATCGTTCTTCTTGCGCTACATGCAGTACCAGTGTATTCAGCTCTTGTTCTTTGCTGGCTACATGGATTTCATTCAAAATACCGCCCAATGACAGTTCGTGCAGTGCATTTCATGTTCGCTTCTGTGAATTTGTTGTGCTAGTCAGAGACAGTGGACACTGCTTTTATACCTCGATATTTAGGTACTTGTTTCCCTTCTTCCCATGCTTCATCTTCCCCTCTCCTCTCCCTCATTTCCCCATTTTCCTTGTTTTGTTTTTTTGTTTGTTTGTTTATTTAGAGTCGAAGAACAAACAGGCAAATTTGCCTAATTACATGATATCGACTAAAAAGGAGAATAAATTATAAAAGGCCAATGAAGGTAATGACACTGAGTAGAGTGGGTAGTAAAGTATTACTTTGTTAAGGCCAGTTAGGCCAGTAAAGGAAATAATAGTACAGCGGGCAGTGGCATTACTGAAAAGCAGCATGTGCTGGGAGGGATCGCATGAATCGGTGGTACTGTGGGATTTTCCTGATGTCGGGCTGGAGCCTGTTCCACAGTGATACACATTGGAATGAGGCAGAATGTGTGCCAGCGGATGTCTTAGTGACTGGAAATTTAAGTGCTCGATTTCCCTGACTACGTGTAGCACGGCCGGCATTAAGAGGACTGAACATATCGGTAAGCAATGTGCTGCATTTACCCTGAAGGCAGCGCCAAGTGTAGCCAAGCAGCTTGTGGCAGTACATAACTTCTAGCGAGTGCAATCGCAATTGGCAATACAGCGGCGCAGATGGTGATGCAAATGGAGCGTTGTAAACACAGCGGACTGCGCGCTTGAGTAGCCGCTCTAGGCGCTCGAGCTGATGTGAGGTGAGGCCAGCAGAGAAACAGTTGCTAGCATACAGGAAGTCAGGAAGGATCAGGGACTTCAGGTATGTGATGCGGCACGGGAGGGGTATGCAGCGCCTGTTTCTAAACAGGACAGCTATTTTACAGGCAGCTCGCTTGGCGATCTGGTTGACCATTGTGGTCCACTTTAGATCTTGGTCCATGTGGACACCAAGATACTTTGCGGATTCTACTTGTGCCAGCTGAACTCCAGAGCACATAACGCTGACACGAGGATTCACAGAACGATGGGCAGGGATGAACAAAATCTGGGTTTTACTCTCGTTTAGTACCAGGTTCCTGCTGGCAAGCCATCTGGCCAGGTGTGTAACTGCAGAAGACATATTGCGTTCCAGCTGATGTTTGTCCCTGCTACTAATATAGAGCATGATGTCATCTGCGAACTGAACTGTCCGCACACCATACGGTTGCACTTCAGCTGCCACACCACGGACATAGAGGACAAACAGCAGAGGACCAAGTACGGAACCCTGGGGCACACCACTGCTGGGCTGGAATACCTTGCTGTGCTGGTTCCCAATGACAACTCTTTGCTGCCGGTCACTTAAGTAGTCTGCCAGCCAATTCAGCGCACTTCCACCAACACCAATACTGAAGAGGTCGCGGATGAGGGTGCCATGTTGAACCTTGTCGAATGCCTTCGACATGTCAACAAAGGCGGCGCAAGTTGATAGTCCGGAGTCTTTGGCATTGGCAAAGGCCTCTGATGCCATCACAACAGCATCCTCTGTTGAGTGCTGTTTCCGGAATCCGAACTGGCAATCTGGGTAGAGGCTGTGGGTGGTCAAGAATTCAGTGAGTTGCGAATGTACGATGCGCTCAAGGATCTTTGAGATAATCGGCAACAGAGAAACAGGCCTGAAATTGGTGGCCTTAGTAGGGTCGCCGCTCTTGTACACAGGGGTGATATTTGCAAGTTTCATGGATAGTGGAAATCTCCCTTCGGAAAGTGACTTGTTGAAGATGAGAGTTACTGATGGAGCTAAGAGGTCAGAGCATGCTGCTAGTACAAGAGCAGGTACGCCATCACTGCCCGTGGACTTTGTCGTATCTACACTGCTGAGCAACTTGCGTACACATGCGATGGATACTGGCTTGAAACAGCAGAGATCAGTACTTGCATGCGGACCAGAGGGGATGGACAGCACCTTTGGGCGAGTCGCATCGGTGACGATGTCCGCAAACACTTGGCCGATTTCATCCGGGGGGCATTGAGGAGCAGTGTGGGTCCGTGTTCTGCCTGATACCTGGTTAATCACTCTCCATGTTTGTCTTGGCTGACCTTCCGCATTGGCAAACTGATCCTGATAGTAGCCTTGCTCTATTTATGTAGGAAATTTCCGTGATAAGCATCCATTTGCTTTTGGAGAATCCTTTTAAATAAATCCAATACAATACGATACACTGCTGCTGGCTGTACACCGTCAGTACAAACCACCAGGCATCAGTCAACTAAGCATAATGGTGGTCGGTACACATACCCCTCATCTCATCAAAGAGTAGTAAAATTACGATTGGGCGGGCTTTAAACTCTGATAAAATACTTGGCGGCAACGCCACTGATTGGCCGTCTCCTGAACAACGAGACAGACCTCGTTCTGATGGTTGTTGGTACACAAACCCCTTGTGCGAGTGTGATTTTTGGTGTAATGTATGAGCTTCCAGGGTACCTGAAACCCGACTTGATGGTGGGGCAGGGGGGGGGGGGTGGGGGTGGGGGGGGGGCCATATAGCTATTATACTGTACATGTTTGATTGCTGCATTCAACTACAGTAAAACCTGTGACTACCGACCAACCCTTGGGGCCAGAGAAAACGGTCTTTAGTGGCAGGTGGTCCTTAGTTAGAGGTTTGCATCGCACAATCATAATATTATTATGAATGTATGGTATCTTCACGTATGGTATGTATGGTATGGTATTTTTATTTTTATTCACCAATGGAACAGGCATATCTGCCTTCTTGCCGGAATGGCCAGAGCCAACCACGGCTCCTACTAACGTGAGACAGTCCGTGCTTGGCAAAGTGGTCTGCAGCACCAGGCTGGACGTTAGTCACGGTGGTCTTTAGTTACAGGCTTTACTGTAGTACCAGGCTGGTCGCTAGTCAAGGTGGTCTTTAGTTACAGGTTTTACTGTAGTACCAGGCTGGTCGCTAGTCGCGGTGGTCTTTAGTTACAGGTTTTACTGTAGTACCAGGCTGGTCGCTAGTCACGGTGGTCTTTAGTTACAGGTTTTACTGTAGTACCAGGCTGGTCGCTAGTCACGGTGGTCTTTAGTTACAGGTTTTACTGTAGTACCAGGCTGGTCGCTAGTCACAGTGGTCTTTAGTTACAGGTTTTACTGTAGTACCAGGCTGGTCGCTAGTCACGGTGGTCTTTACTTACAGGTTTTACTGTAGAACCAGGCTGGTCGCTTGTCGCGGTGGTCTTTAGTTACAGGTTTTACTGTAGTACCAGGCTGGTCGCTAGTCACGGTGGTCTTTAGTTACAGGTTTTACTGTAGTACCAGGCTGGTCGCTAGTCACGGTGGTATTTAGTTACAGGTTTTACTGTAGTACCAGGCTGGTCGCTAGTCACGGTGGACTTTAGTTACAGGTTTTACTGTAGTACCAGGCTGGTCGCTAGTCACGGTGGTCTTTAGTCACAGGTTTTACTGTAGTACCAGGCTGATTGCTAGTCACAGTGGTCTTTAGTTACAGGTTTTACTGTAGTACCAGGCTGGTCGCTAGTCACGGTGGTCTTTAGTTTCAGGTTTTACTGTAGTACCAGGCTGGTCGCTAGTCACGGTGGTCTTTAGTTACAGGTTTTACTGTAGTACCAGGCTGATTGCTAGTCACAGTGGTCTTTAGTTACAGGTTTTACTGTAGTACCAGGCTGGTCGCTAGTCACGGTGGTCTTTAGTTACAGGTTTTACTGTAGTAGCAGGCTGGTCGCAAGTCACGGTGGTCTTTAGTTACAGGTTTTACTGTAGTACCAGGCTGGTCGCTAGTCACGGTGGTCTTTAGTTACAGGTTTTACTGTAGTACCAGGCTGGTCGCTAGTCACAGTGGTCTTTAGTTACAGGTTTTACTGTAGTACCAGGCTGGTCGCTAGTCACGGTGGACTTTAGTTACAGGTTTTACTGTAGTACCAGGCTGGTCGCTAGTCACGGTGGTCTTTAGTTACAGGTTTTACTGTAGTACCAGGCTGGTCGCTAGTCACGGTGGTCTTTAGTTTCAGGTTTTACTGTAGTACCAGGCTGGTCGCTAGTCACGGTGGTCTTTAGTTACAGGTTTTACTGTAGTACCAGGCTGATTGCTAGTCACAGTGGTCTTTAGTTACAGGTTTTACTGTAGTACCAGGCTGGTCGCTAGTCACGGTGGTCTTTAGTTACAGGTTTTACTGTAGTAGCAGGCTGGTCGCAAGTCACGGTGGTCTTTAGTTACAGGTTTTACTGTAGTACCAGGCTGGTCGCTAGTCACGGTGGTCTTTAGTTACAGGTTTTACTGTAGTACCAGGCTGGTCGCTAGTCACAGTGGTCTTTAGTTACAGGTTTTACTGTAGTACCAGGCTGGTCGCTAGTCACGGTGGTCTTTAGTTACAGGTTTTACTGTAGTACCAGGCTGGTCGCTAGTCAAGGTGGTCTTTAGTTACAGGTTTTACTGTAGTACCAGGCTGGTCGCTAGTCACAGTGGTCTTTAGTTACAGGTTTTACTGTAGTACCAGGCTGGTCGCTAGTCACGGTGGTCTTTAGTTACAGGTTTTACTGTAGCCCTGATAGTCATACCCTGCACTACGTCAAGGGCAAGAGCCATGACGTCATTCGTGTAACCTGCACACACACACACTGCCGATGCGTGCACAACACAGGAATGTGGGACCATACTCCATACATCAGTATGCATATGCACGCATGCACATAAGCACAGAATACAGGAAAAGACGATAATTATTATGCGCACTAACAAGCACAATTTCTTACCTGCCATCGATATCGGGAAGTACAGAGCCAGCAGGCAGACGACGCGCAAGCTGGGAGCCATCCATGTTCCTGGAGTACACCCTGGCGAACTTCCTCGCATCGTTGTGCAGTGGAACAAGACTGACGAAGTCTAAAACTGAAATATTTTGGAGTGGACGAACTGAGAGACTCGACAAATTTCAGAGCACAATTATTCTGGAACTAGTCGGCGTTTGGATGCTGCTGTCAGATAGTATTGGTTCTCAAGTTAGTGATGACATCAACAACGAACTCCCACTGCGCTAACACTGACCGCTATTGTCGCCTTTCGAAAAGTCAATTGTGGACGACTTGCACCTAAGTCTTTGCACAGGACGGCTAATATTGATCCAGTGCAGTTGATGGTGATAGCGGTAGTAGACTACGCGGATGAGGGGTGCTAGATGTTACAGAGGAGGTGGTTTGCCACCCCGTTGCCGTGTTGGTGTGATTTTCAGTGGTTCTCCCTGTGCACCTATGTCGACCGACAGCCTGCGAGCGTCTGCGGCGTGAAAGTCCTCGCGTGGAGCTAGTGTGAAAAGTGAAGCAAAGAAACACGACCATGATGTAAGAGTTTTTTTTTACCCAGGACCTGTACTAGGCATATGCAGATAATGCTCGAAAAGGTGGCAGATTCTTCTCGAAAAGCAGTGAAATTGGCAGAACCATACAAACCTTATGGCGAGCAATTCCTCGAATTCTGCTCCACTGATTTCTTTATCTAAATACCAAACATGCATGAAACTTACCAGAAAAAGTACCGAATTGTTTGCCAATTTTTCTGCCGGCATTATCCGCCGGTGCCTAACCTGTACAACTGCACTAATCCTACACTACGAGCCCTTGGCGGACTATGCTCGGTAAATTGCTGAATTATGCTTTCCATTACGCCCAAATTATGCCAGTGATTATGCTACATTATGCTGGAATTATGCCAATAAGGGGTAACAATCACCAGGTTATTTCCTGTAACATGCCTAAACATTCCTGGACCGAGCATTAGTCTTCAGCCAGCATCGTAAGGTTATGCCGACCGTCAGAAATTATGCCAACATAATCCGCTAGGGGCTGTACAAGTTCATGAACTGTATCATTCACATTTCAGCCTGATGACTTTGAGCTACATGCACAGAATATTCTCTAGGTGCTACACCTTACAATATGTATGCTTGAAGTTGTTTAGGTCACAACTGCTTTCTGGAACGTTTTTTTGTTGTATTTGTATCCGGTATTGGAGCCATGCGTAAAATTTACTTCGAAGTCATAAAGATTCCTGAAACTGAGGCAATCCCTGAACGTCGAGAAAATATTGATACACGAAACGATTATTGTTTACAAAGTTTCAGTCAATGCAGTGCTTCACGGAAAGGGGAAGGTGGCCCGTAACAAAGGCGCTTCGTTCTGTTCAATTATCAATGGTGTCATACACTGATCATCTCCGTCTGATGTCGCCTTCATCTGGATTGAGCTACTTTCCCTTTCAGATCAAGACCTCACTCACTCAATGGATGCGTTCGATTATGCACTTGAATCGATTCATGAATCCATTCGCATGCATTAAAGTCGTTCGATTTTCATGTCATGAGCCCTGGATCATGGAATCGATTCGGAATCCATTCCCCCTATTCACATTGGGTGATGTGAATAGCGCAAATCGATTCCTGAATCGATTCATGAATCGATTCAGGAATTGATTCGCGTGCAGAATCGAACGCACTCACTGTCTATTATCTACTGTTCTCTAACATGGTAATCCACAGCCATAACTCACTTGTGACACACACACACACACACACACACACACACACACACAGAACACACACACACACATAGAACACACAGAGGGTGTGCGCCTTAACCTGCAATAGTGCTCAAATGCCCGGAATGGGCAGAGCGTAGTACGCAAGAGGTACACAAAAGGAAGTATATAGGGCTGTTTTTTGTTGCAACTCAGAGTTGTCTGATGATTGGTTTTTGCCATGAAACTCTGAGTTACAACAAAAAACAGCCCTATATACTTCCTTTTTGTGTACCTCTTGCGCACATAGAACACACATAATATACATATACACACAAACACACACATTATAATTATAGACACACACATGCACACAAACACACACAAACACACACACACACACACACACACACACACACTTGTACTTGTACTTGTTGCTCACTGCCAAAACTGGTCACGTGGGTCTCCCCGGGAGAGGGGAGAGAGACTCAAAAGGAATTTTGGAAAGATGACTCAACTGGCGATTGAACCGCCCAACGGTCGACACCCCCTGAAATCCCCAAAACTCTGGGTGGACTTGAAAATGATCCCACTTATGGGCTGACCACACCTCAGTAAGACACACACACACACACACACACACACACACACATATATATACACACACACACACCGACAAACACACACACACACACACACAAATATACACACACACACACACCGACAAACACACACACACACACACACACACACACACATACAAACACACACACACACACACACACAAACACACAACCACAAACACACAAACACACAAACACACAAACACACACGCACACATATACACACACATACACATACACACATACACACACACATACACACACACACACACACACACACACACACACACATGTACACACACACACACATACACACAAACATGCATACACACACACACACACACACACACACACACACGCATGAATCGCGCTGCTGCGTGAGGGGCAGAGGAACAAATAAACTGGGCTGCGTTAGCTACAGCCACGCGAAACGTCACACGATTTATGGAGATGTGAATGACACTTCAGGATCATGGATACAACAAGTACAATGACTGTAGATCTATAACTATCAGCACCGATCATTTCACAAATTGACTCCGGATCAACTGTTCACAAGGTGATTATTTATTTTCGTATTATTTATTCCACGGCTCCCCAGAGGCTCTAGGTTGGAAAGCCTGTGGGGGGTCTCCATAATAACATCACGATCATTATCGCCATACGAGACAGTACGTGGAAGCCGCTGACAGAGGGGTGAGTGAAACAAAATGCGTGTAATAGATAAACTATGGAGACCGCGGTGCCGAACACTGTCACTCAGACAATGATCCAGTTCCGGTCTTAGTCTAACGTGAGCGATTCGAACACACAGCATTACTACTACTACTTGCAAAAGCATTCGGGAGTCGAGTCTTACCTAGACTGTATTGGTCGGCGGACATTGACTGGAAATCCAAGACGGTCCTGAGAGTGCGGATGCACCCGCCAGCAACAAGTGGAAAGCTGTGCGCGGCCGAAAGGCGTTCCATCTTGTTGCCGCCGGGCAGGCTCGTGACTCGACAACAGTCCATGTATGAAGTAGTTTCGGCAAGACACTGCATTCAGGATGCAGGGCTGGAAGAGGCCTGGACGATCTTCTCGGCTCCTTGTAAGCAACACACCGGGCACGCATGTGTGCTTGGTGTACCGGTGTGTGGAGCCGACTCCGTCACCTTCGTGGTCGCAGACGTTTAAGGACACACCGGTGACGCCTTTATGCAAGGCCGGCTCCGACTAGGGCACCGAGGAGTGACCGTCTGACATCGCGATCAAGAACTGGGACGGGTCTGACGAAACATCACCCCAAATATGACCCACAAACCCCCAAAACATGACTCAAGGACTGCATGCTACAAACGTAGTAGTATAGGTAGAGCTCAATGGCCAGTCTCGATTTGTTTCGGAAAGCACACCGAAAGGTTGATTTTAAAAATAGTATCAAGAGTACCTGCTCCCTAGGCCCTGGCCGCTTGATAATATCCAGCGATGCTTTATGATCGGTGAAGAGGCTGACACGGTGCAGATGCCCGTGATGGCGTTCCGCCTAGACCTACACTAGGCTACAGCAGAGTAGTATCAGGTCAAACACATGGGATTTGCCTTGTCGACCCTTCGAAGATGTAGTCCAGCAATGTGGAGCAAACGTCCACCGGAACTAGTTACTTGCAAGACTTACGGGTGTCTGTTGGCAAGAGTACATAACCCCCCCCCCCCCCCCCCCCCAGCTATTGGGCATTTGAGGGACAGTGGTCACGTAAAGCATGCTGAACGAAAGCACACGCATTTGCACAAGATACTACAGTAAAGCCTGTCAAGGCGACCACTCGGATAAGGCGACCACCTGCCCTAGAAGACCACTGAAACCAGAGCCAAGTGATGCTATTTCCAGTCAATTGACCCTGTATAAGAAGACCACCTGGTAACAGAGACCACGCTTTGAAGGTCCCTGAGCGGTCGTCTTAGACAGGTTCTACTGTAGTGTGCATGGAAAGGGTGAGTGCAATTTGATCTGCTCACAAAAGACATTTCCACAAGAAACAATAGCAGGCAAAATTCTAAAGAGCATGACTTTTGTCAAGAAGTTTGTCGGACGACGGTCGACGGCAATAAAGTTATTGATTGGCTTGCTCCACAATTCTGGACCCAAACATAGCAAATGCAGCTGCAATTGGTCACTCCTTCATTCAACACATCCGCCTTTGTCTTATTGGACACAGAGAAAATAATTCCGTTGCTTGGAATTTGACATGTTAAGACCCTCCCGATAGTTGGTTTGCTCTTACCAAGGAAACCGCTAACTGATTTCTCTTATCACTCCCTTAGTATTGACCCTCATTGATTTTAGCTATACCTAAGCAGTCAAATATTCCTGCAAATTTCACTTCTTAGGGCTATTGACTGCTTATATTTGAGGTTATCGTTCTGGAATTTGAAATACGGACTGTTTGTCGTTAAATCTAATATTGACTTCGTACTCAGTCAATATGAGATACTTATATTGGAGCTCTTTAGACACACGAGTCCACATTCTCATCTGTCCTGGTTCGTAATGCATCGCATGTGATTGTAACACTCAGACACAGCATTTCTCTGCCGTGACACTGATGCCCTCTCAATCAGTAAAACGTGCATTGCCGCGTGGGGTCGAGAGGTGTCACGACCTCCTTGCACAGCAATCTAATAATAGGCATGCACATCACTGTCATACAATGAAGTTCGCGTATAACGACACTCTTCGGGCATCAAAAAGTGTCGTTATTCGCGAAGTGTCCTTATACCCGAAGTCTCATTTTTAAATTTTGTTTTACACCTTTTTTTAGATGGGACTTTGCTCTGGGCATGGAAATTCTGTCGTTATTCGCGAATTGTCGTTATGTCCGCAGTGGTTGTTAGCGAAGTTGACTGTAAAATTGTAAATAGAGAGGTTAAGTTTCACGTAAAAGTCTTACGTCCGTGAACTTTTACGTCAAAAAGTGAAAAAACTCACGTAAAATTTGACGTGTTTTACGTGAGTTGACTGTATCAAAAAAGTATTCTTTCTCGACCAAAGAGTGGTATATTTGATAAAATTTAATAACGATAGAAATATTTACGATACTTCTCCAGACGTTTCGTTGTTCTGAACAACATCGTCAGCGGATAAAGAAGGTTTTTATCCACTGACGATGTTGTTCAGAACAACGAAACGTCTGGAGAAGTATCGTAAATATTTTTATCGTTATTAAATTTTATCAAATATACCACTCTTTGGTCGAGAAAGAATACTTTTTTGATATTACAATGAGAGTGAATAATCAACGGCTTGTCCACCAACTCTTTGAGTTGACTGTCCGGCACGTAAGTTCATGACGTGAGTTTTTGGAAGTTTCGCTTGGTTATTCCGACCGAATTTGTGTGAGTTTCCGGAATTTTATCGAGTTTGTTGGAAGATTTGATATTTGTGCGAACTAAACCCGAATTCTGCCAGGCAAAATTTCACGTCACATCGCACGTGTAACTTAACCTCTAAAAATTACACGTAACGTGAGATTTGCACCGCGTTTTGAAAAAGAGCAAAAAACGTGTAACTTAACCTCTCTAATGTAAAGTCGTGTAGAACGTATTGTCGTGTCCGTTCCCGAGTGAACTCACGACGACCGCTAACACCCAGGCAATCCAGCTGCGCATGCTGCACCTAACGGTGCTGCAGGGAGGAGGGATATGTCTCACAACCACTGCACTGGTGGAAGTGCCGAAGATCCAATTTGAATTACGGTAGCCGCATCCATGTACACTTTGTGCCTGTCCACAAGTTCCCAGTTGACTGTGGGTAGCTGCACGGCCGGAAGACCCGCTCCCAGGCAGGACTTGAACCAGGCACCTCTTGTATCTCACATAGATCTTTATTCTCATGAAAACCAGTGCACTAGTGGTCAATAAGGCTAGGGAGAGAGATTTATGAACGAGATAGAAACTAATAACGATGATTGTATGTATGGCGAATGATGAGTTCTGTGATAAACCTGGAATCTTTAGCCTCGCGTTGGCTTGTGGCCAACAAGAGCAGAAGTACAAAATAAGGGCATTGGCTGAAATCTAGCTGGGCATCAAAAATACGGTTATTGTGCATGGAACCTAACAATAATGAGGTCTAGTGTGGCCCACAGGGTGAGTGGCATGAAAACATAATTTTCCCCATGATCGGGCCATATGACCTCTGTCGAACAGGGGATGGGAAATGGATGGTCTATTCGGGATATGAAAAAAGGTTAGCTGGGGTAGTTATTTGAAGTCTCGGCAAAAACTGGCAGCGCCGAATTGGTATCAACAGTGAACGCCCAAGACCGTAAATGGATGAGGGGCGATTCCTGAACAGCTTGTCTGAAGAGACGAATTTCGTTCTAGTAGGCTGGTGAAGGATGCAGTCCATCAACACAGCAAGGTTCTAAAAACCTTCAGGCGTATGGCAGGTAGCCAGAAAACCATCGGAGTGCACCTGAGGAGCAGGAGGAAATTTTAACGAGGAATTTTCACGCTGAGGGCTGGTGCAGTGTGTGTGTGTGTGTGTGTGTGTGTGTGTGTGTGTGTGTGTGTGTGTGTGTGTGTTTGTGTGTGTTTGTGTGTCCAGCTGATGAGAGAGACAGTCAGAGACGGACAGAGAGACAGACAGCAGACAGACAGACAGACAGACAGACAGACAGACAGACAGACAGACAGACAGACAGACAGACAGACAGACAGACAGACAGACAGACAGACAGACAGACAGACAGACAGACCGACCGAGAGGGAGACAGGGAGACAGAGCGCGAGACCGTGAGGGAGACAGAGACAGAGAGAAAACAAGGAGAATAGAAATTGAACACCTGCCATATCATCATGACATGTGTTCTCTGGGTCTGTGGGTATCCATAACACTGGGTCTAATGATGCTATAATGCAAGGAAGTAAAACAGTAGCTATAAGCAATACAAGTCAGTACTAAGCGATTGCTTTAAACACTGTAACCTAGAGTTCTAAGTTCAAACAAAAAACAATTTATAAATTCAGTAATGGCATGCTCGCCACTTGCATCATGAAATCAAAAGAGTGCTTGCGCTTCACGCTCAGAGCCTCTGGCAGGGGCAGTGTAGTGTGTTGTTGCTCCAGGGAAAGCAGGTGCTAGGCATTGGCTGTGTACGGCCACGGGAGGGTACTTGCTAATCAACACTGCTCTCGGCGGTCGCCCCGTAGACGAAATACGATGCGGAGCTGACCTGTGGAGAGGGAGAGAGAGAGAGAGAGAGAGAGAGAGAGAGAGAGAGAGAGAGAGAGAGAGAGAGAGAGAGAGAGAGAGAGAGAGAGAGAGAGAGAGAGAGAGAGAGAGAGAGAGAGAGAGAGAGAGAGAGAGAGAGAGAGAGAGAGAGAGAGAGAGAGAGAGAGAGAGAGAGAGAGAGAGAGAGAGAGAGAGAGAGAGAGAGAGAGAGAGAGAGAGAGAGAGAGAGAGAGAGAGAGAGAGAGAGAGAGAGAGAGAGAGAGAGAGAGAGAGAGAGAGAGAGAGAGAGAGAGAGGGAATAAAGAATGCATTTAACCACCCCTCGTCAGCCTTCACAACCCGATCGGTTTGAGGTGTGAGTGCGCAGTTATCTGGCGAATAGATACAGTTTCGAATCATATTTCTCAGGTCTTGCTCTACCATGGGCAATTCGGACGAGATGATTGTTGTTTAATAGGCGGTGAGGTGACAAATGTTCCAGAATTCCTCATCTTTCTGTTCTCAATCATTAAAGCATGTTTGGTATGTCGATCTTGCTGAGTATATATTATTATTATTATTTACACCAAGAGTGCATAAACAAGAGTGTGCAACTGTAGTTATGGGTCAGTGCGCGGCGCGCTGCCTTCATTGCGTAATTTGCCTTCATCACGCTCTGAAAGCATGCATTCAAACTCACAATTTCTCGTACGAGTCCATCCGTTTTTGCTAGATTCGTTCCAGTACCTACGCGATCTCTAAATTTTGGCGCGTGAACCCCAGTTCCCTACGGAAGTTCATTTCAAACCAGTGGGAATGTGCGGTGTTTGATTTTCCGCAGTGCGCGGACTGCAGCTGAATGATGTAATGAAGGCAGGGCGCCGCGCATCTGGCCCATAGAAAAGAGATCAGAGTTGCATACTCTTGTTTATGGACTCTTGTTTATACTTCAAGTATTACAAAACAATTAAGAGGCTTTGAATCGTTTTTATCAAGATCTAAATATTTGCCCGGTCGGAAGTTGGGAAATAAAAAATAAATAAAACAAATCTTGCTGTTCCTGTTGATAGCGTTTCTGACACGTGATCATTTGAGCATGTTATACTCATAAAGCATATCCAGTGGGATCAGTGTTTGGAGACCGCTCCATGCTGTCAAGGACAATGGTCTTAGCCCTTTGTGCCTGCCCGGCATACTGTGAAACATATAATTTTAGGTGCTTTGAAATTTCGGTGCCAGAGGGCTGACAGGTTTCATGGGTAATGTAGAATTAGGTGACCAGCTTTCCCATCACATACAGTGCATACTCTAGAGTCGTTTAGGTGTAATTTAAATTTTTAAAAGTGCCTTGTTTTTCTACCGACATCAACAAAGTAAAGTGACACCGGAAAAAAAACATGTTTTCCAGTAATCACACAGGGTGCGTTGGAAGGTATTTTGGGGTGGTACGGTGAGTCATCTGAAGTACAGTTTACTGGTGGGGGGGGGGGGAGGGATGGCGGAGGCGAAAATTTTGGAATTTTAGAGTCCATACCAGTGTGCTGTATTGATTCACGGGGTACCTGGGGCAAAAAGTGGTACGGTCAATACCGTAGTGACCGTACCGTGTCCAACGCCCCTGTCACAAGAGACCTTTCAGCAGTTTCAGGAAGTGGATTGGGGAAAATCTGAACCAACTCGACTGTCACCACCGGAGCTCCAATCCCGGATGTTCACTGCAGGCTGGCAATGCTCTCCCACTAAGATAATGAGTGGTGTTGCAAGTTATTTAGAAAACTAGTGATTAAAGCGTTCTGCTAAATATCCTCTTCAGTTCAGTGAGCTATTAGGAAAAAACAAGGCAGGCTGAAAATCTGGACATTCTGGCACTGTTGTACCAGCCATGGAACAGGCGGTAAAACAAACCTTTCTTGGAGTAGCGTAGCAGGGTTCTGCAGACTCCATACCAGGCCTGCCAGTGTATAGGCCATCATATAGAGCGTCTTGGTCATCGCTGGGTTGGAGGAACAGGGTTGGCTGTGAGCAGAACACAGGAGGAACAAGGCGAAGGAAAGATCAAGATCAAGATGAGCGGATATGGGCCTTGTTTGAACATTCAAACATTTTTCTCTAATTTTCATTTATCTAGCCAGGAGGCTGTTAACTGAGAGTGGGGTGAGGATGTGTATCTAGTATTGACTGAGTACGAGGTCAATATAGCAAAAAAACGAGCCGAGTAAAAGACCGAGGCGAAGCCGAGGTCTTTTACGAGGTTTTTATTTCCTATACTGACCAAGTACGAAGTCAATATTAGATTTCTCACGACAAACAGTCCTTATTTCAAATTCCAGAACGATAACCTCAGCATCGGAATCCCGGTTTTATGATTGCACAACCGTTGCACCATCACCTACTCATACAACCATGATTGTATGGGGCTACTGCATGCAGCTGCTGAGCTGGTGCAGCCTGACCAAGTACAGTTACCATGCGGCGCTAGGCACCGTTCAACTGCCCAACCCCTAAGCAGTCAAATATAAGCAGTCCTCGTATAGCCCCAAGGAGAGAAAAAATACAGGAATTTTTGTCTGCTTAGGTACAGCGATGATAAATGGCAGTCAATACTAAGAGAGTGATACATGGATATAGCGGTTGCATGGCTACGGTGGAGTTTACATATCTTGAGAAAGGTGAGTGCTGGCTTGAAAAGTAACAATCCCCTCTGGTGCAAGGTGAGAAATGCGTATTGCTCCCATCTGGATTAATATTGAAAAGTCCTGGTCAAGGAACCCCAACCTCATGAATAATCCAGCAGCGTAGTGTTCGAGTGCACAGACCAGCCTCACGGTGTAGTGTCAGAGTGCACAGACCAGCCTCACGGTGTAGTGTCAGGGCGCCCAGCGATGCTATTTTATTCATGAGGTTGGCGTTCTTTGGCCAGCACTGTGCATGTGCACTCTAACAGTTGCTGCTGCACATGGTATGAATGAATACCTTTGGGGTTGCTGGCGGTAAGCTGCTTAGAGCATGTGCAGCGTTGGTGTTGTACAACCCGTCGTACCCCGAGTCTGATTCATCAAACGCTTGAAGGAATGTGCTTTGCTGTGAGCACAATAGGAAAAACAAGGTGAGATACAAAAATCTACAAAAATCTACAAAAAAACGTTTATTCTTTCTTCTTCTAATAGCTATAAAGAGAACAAATTCTGCTGTCATTGCCACACTACAACAAAGTCATGAAGGTTTACCAAAATGGATTTTCTTGTCACAATCATCAGTGGAAAGCCGTGACTGAAGAGTAACCATGCGGAATCAATGATTAATATACATTCAATAATGTGTTACGAGAACAAACAAAGTGCTAAAATAGAATGAGGGAAGGTGAGACAATAGAAGTGAAGTGAGAGCTTAGTGCAATAGGGGTGAGGAACTAATTACAACGCTAGAACTGTGTAGTGAGACAAACAATCATGCTGTGCACCTACGAAAACAATCTTAACGCAACTACATGTTTTTTCTGCTTACAAAGATCAGGCTTATGTAAACGAATACAAACAGCCTCAAGTACTTTCAACTGACTAGCGTACCGTGCACGACCAAGAACAGAAAAACTAAAATCATCATACACCTGCAGACACTTAGGGTGAGACAACAGATGAAGAAAAACGGCAGACTTCTTACTATCACAATCACCATCCCATTCCTCGTCTCCACCAACCGCAACCTCGTCCTCCGTCTCATCTTCCAACTCGTCCTCAGTGCCGTCCCCCGTGTCATTCTCCTCATCAACACCGATCGGTCCCAGGCTCGATTCATGTTGCTTAACCTCTGTTCGTTGACTCCTCCTTTGATCTTGATGGTAATTTGTCACCATTGTTGTTGTTGTTATTGTTGTTGTTCCTGTTGTTGTTAAATCTTCTGCTCCAGTGTCTTCGCCGGTGCTTGACATCCAGTACTGTCATAATAATTCATTGAATAATTAGCCGTTGATCGTCTAGGTCTTTGAATGTTGATCGTGTTGTTTTCTCTGTTGAATTCCGTTCCCTTCAGCTTTCTTTCTCCTTGTTCATGTTCAGTGCTTACCTCTTCCATATTCGCCTGTGCCACCGACCCCACAGACTCAGCCCCAGCACCGCCGATGACAGGTGCAGCTTTCTTCTTCTCCTTGTTTAACTCACCTGAAAATCACCATTCGATGTAGGCTCACTGATGACCATCGAAAGAAAAACGTTTACATTTCATGATTGTAACATGGTATTATGTCGGCATCGTTTGTTCTATTTAACGCATTGTTCTCCTCTTTTCCTTTCTTCCTTTTTCTTTTCTTTTCTTGCCGTGCTTGGCTATAACCCCTCTGTTGCAATTTGTTTGTCACTGGGTCATAGACCGCGGGTCTAGAGAAATAAAATCATTATAATAATATACCAACTACATTCCCGAGGGAACTCACTACGACCGCTACCATCCAGACAATCCAGTGGCAGATGCAGCACCTAAGAGTGGGGGAGAGGAGATACGTCGTACAGCCACTGGCACAAGTGACGGTCCAAAAACCTCATCAACCGCATCCGACGTGAGCTTCAGGTGCAGAATGATCAGAATCCCTGGTGGTATGATGATGAATATTGTACAGAGCTGCTCAACTAAATCCAGTCGTGTCACGCCAGTACCGTACGCGCCAGGGGTTGCGCAGTCCTAGACCGGCAGACAATGGGCTGCGAAATGGCGCAAACTTGAGCGACGCGACTGGATTTCATTGTGCAGCACTGTACTATGCTTCTCATGTAGTAACCATCCAGCTGAAATATACAGTACAAACATGTATGTCGTTGATCTGCCCTCTCAGTAGAGACAACGTACTGGAAAAGGAGACATTTTCGGTGGTGTATTATTTTCGGTATTCTCCAAAATCGGCGATTCGGTGGAGGGAAATTTTCGGTAAAACCCGTTTTCCAGGTAAGTGTACTAGTATCTAGTCTGCAGTACCGGTAGTACCGAAATTTTCTGTGCGTTTTATTTTCGGTAAAAATTGTCGTCACCGAAGTTACCGAAAATAAAACACCACCGAAAAATTCTGATTGTACAGTAGCTCCAGTAAAACCTGTGTGTTCCGGACCCTGTGACAAGCTGAATCCTGTATTGACCGGAAGAAGTTTCATGCGCCAACGTGCCGTGGATGGAACGTAAATCCTTGGTTCATAAGGCTTTTAAATCCTGCCACATCCGTGATGATATGACAGAACAGTTTTCGGCACACCAAGAGTGTCCTGTTAAGCCCGGTTTTACTCTACCTATGACTAGCAACCACCCCTTGGGGCCAGAGAAAGCTGTCTTTAATGACAGAGTGGTCCTCAGTTAGGGTTTTGAACCGCACAACCACAATATTATTAGATGAATGTGAGACCGTCCGCTGCCTGGCGAAGTGGTCTGTAGTACTAGGCTGGTCGCTAGTCAAGGTGGTCTTTAGTTACAGGTTTTACAGGAGTACCAGGCTGGTCGCTAGTCAAGGTGGTCTTTAGTTACAGGTTTTTCTGTAGTACCAGGCTGGTCGCTAGTCAAGGTGGTCTTTAGTTACAGGTTTTACTGGAGTACCAGGCTGGTCGCTAGTCAAGGTGGTCTTTAGTTTCAGGTTTTACTGGAGTACCAGGCTGGTCGCTAGTCAAGGTGGTCTTTAGTTTCAGGTTTTACTGTATAATTATTGCAACTCAGATGTTGTAGGTATAAAGTTGTTCTTGTAAGTCTGGAAATCAGTTGTGCACTTAGTGTCATCACGTTTGGATGCCACATTTTAAAAGTTGTATGGTGTTGGAACATGCGTGCATGCACTAACTCTGAATGAAGTTCAACTGTCAGACACTATTTTTTTAAATTTCATGGTTCGCGTGAGACTCGGCTGGAAACCAAGTTTTCCGCATCCTTCAAGGATCAGGGCGCATATGCAGCTCCTAAGGCCGTGGGAGGTGAGTAGATCAGCTCACCAGAAAGTGGTCAAAGACAGAAAATCCCATTCACTGCATCCATGTTCTCCTCGTGCCAGGCCACGAGTTTGGGTCGCAGCACCGCAGGCCGGCATAGTGGGATGGTCTGAGACCATGATTGAGAAACAGAGGGTACCAGGTTCAAGTCCTGCTTGGAAGCGGAATGATTTTTTGCAGCCAGGCTGCGACCCACAGTTAATTGAGACACTATTATAACAGGAGAAATGATAAAATTCGCAGTGATAAAATTGCTGCCATGAAATTTGGAGCGGCCGGCAGAGCTTTCTTGCTCGTTACAAAGATTCTACCCAGAGTTTAATAGCAGGAAAAAACCAGGTCTCGAATCATGGCAATTTATAAAATTATTATACATTGCCATGATTCGAGACCTGGTTTTTTCCTGCTATTAAACTCTGGGTAGAATCTTTGTAACGAGCAAGAAAGCTCTGCTGGCCGCTCCAAATTTCATGGCAGCAATTTTATCACTGCGAATTTTATCATTTCTCATATTATGGTGATTAAGAGCCAGGAACATGATTCCGGGGATTTCCCACTCTGTAAATATACAAAATTTCTGCTTAGCAGAAATTCAGCATTTCACGATTTTCCGAAATTTCAGGAGCGATTAATTTTCGGCATTTTGGGTCAACTTTTCCAAACATTCGCAGACTCCACTACAGCGATAACTTCCTTCATCTTTCTGTGAGAACCGGACCTATTGGACGGTGAGAAGGCAATCATGCCTGGGCAATTGGTGAAGTAAAAATAAAAGTCAACAACAATAACAAACACTGTCACAACATTTACACATTTAGGGTGCAGCAACTAAAACACTCCAAATACGGTCACTGTGCTGCAGACGTCATTTAATTTGTTTACCAAATTTTCGGGCAGGGCGTTTTGGGTCAGTGCCGAAAACAGTTGAAATTAAATAGCTGTGAAATTTTGTGTATTCACAGTATTATGTGATTCTTTAATACTAAAAACGTGATCACCGGTCCAGTACAGGCCTGCTTGCTGTTTTAGTTTTATCATGTCACTCACCTTGTTTACCGACGCCGTCCTTAAAGGCCCGTCAGAGCTAGTGCTATTGGGTGGCGATAATCCGCGCTTGCCACAATGTAAACTGCCGCTGGACAAGTCTTCCGGCTCCAGGCCATCGTAATGGAACCTGCGCTCGGCGGCGTCGTAGGCATTTGGAGTGACTGCATCTCCAGCAGCATCATACACATTCGCCATGTTGGCGTCAGTGGCAGCGTCATAGACATTTTGCCCATGTGTGCCGCTAGCGTGATAGCTAGCTGGCTCATCTGTGTTGCCAGCATCATCGTAGACATTCTGCTCGTCTGCACAATGGAAGAAAACCAGGATGTGTGAATCACTGGGAAGTGCACAATTAAACCGCCAGGAATTAAATGCTCAATAACCTATAGAGGAGAAAAGAGATGAAGGGTGAGTGCGAGAGAGAGAGAGAGAGAGAGAGAGAGAGAGAGAGAGAGAGAGAGAGAGAGAGAGAGAGAGATAGGGAGAGAGAGAGATAGGGAGAGAGAGAGAGAGAGAGAGAGAGATAGGGAGAGAGAGATAGGGAGAGAGAGAGAGAGAGAGAGAGAAAAAGAGAGAGAGATAGGGAGAGAGATAGGGCGAGAGATAGATAGAGAGAGAGAGAGGGAGAGAGAGAGGGAGTGTGTGTGTGAGTGAGACGGAGAGTGAGTGCGAGAGAGAGTAAGTGTGAGAGAGAGAGACAGTGACTGAGAGAGTGACTGAGAGAGATAGAGTAAAGGGGATTATGCTATGCCGAATTTTCTTCCATTCACATAATCACCAAGGAACGCTAGCATACGTTTATCTTTTGCTACTACTACAACGGTTCCGTTCAGCGGCACAATTGTTCTTCTGTGGCAGTGTACTTGGTTGGTTGGTTAGCTTGTTCGTTTATTTTAATTCGCACAATAAACGGGAACTAGGCCCAATTAAAAGGTGGTTCTTGACCAGGGAGTTGTACGACTTCTTGTTTTTGGCCTGCCCGGTACGCGAACCCCGTCGAATTTATTATTATTTTTATTTAGGCCCAATGATATAAAGGCGAATGGATAAGCCGCATTTAGAAAAGAGAGGACAGGACTTAGAAAATTACGAAAGAAGAAGTATCTGACAGAGGACTCGAGCGAGTATCAGGGGTGACAGGGTGGTCGAGGAGAGCTAGGGGAAGGGTTAGTCTGAGCAACAATATGGTAGGCAACTTATGCTGAACCTTTTCTGTCTTTCTATGGTCCGAACGCCATCCGGCAGCAGGTTCCAGAGTGCAGATCCTGCGACGGCCGGCCGAGAAGCGCCATAGCGAGTGGAGGATGGCTGACTGAGCAGACCACTGGACCTCTGATGACGAGTTCTCCTGCCAGCAGATCTGACGAACAGTACAGACAACGTGGCACTAGCTTGCCCTTGAAGGCACCTCCAGACAAACACCAGTAGCTTGCGCTTGCTGAGTTCGCCTATCCGGTACAAGCCGTGCTGCACCAGTAGGGGATGCACGGTTGTGTAGGGTGTGTGGCCGTCTTGTGTGTGTGTGTGTGTGTGTGTGTGTGTGTGTGTGTGTGTGTGTGTGTGTGTGCGTGTGTGTGTGTGTGTGTGTGTGTCTGTCTGTCTGTCTGTTTGTGTGTATGTGTGTCGCGAATTCGATCTTACGTAACATCCGCAAATGCTAAAATAACTCAGTTTGAATGTTTCACGTAACTTTTCTCCTTTTTTTTGTCTATCGCCATATTTGCCATGGCGATGTGCAGTGCTGGCGGTTTTTGATGCGCATGCTTGATCCTTTGGCGATGATGTTTTTTGGCTTGCTGACTGCACTCGAGGGGTTTTCAGTTTTTTGTTCTAATGGGACGTCTGACGACGATGAAGTCCAATCCTTGTTGCTCTGTGTCTAATGTCAGTAACAATTAATTCAGTAACGATAGAGCTACAATTTTAGAGCTCTCTCGACTCAGCGAATGGAATAACTTCAGTCAAACAGTAATTTGTGAGTGGCAATCAGGCCGGGAAATTCAAACTGTATTAATTTTATGCCACCACAATGTGTGTGTGTGTGTGTGTGTGTGTGTGTGTGTGTGTGTGTGTGTGTGTATGCGAGTAAGTGTGCATGTGTGTCTGTGTATGAACGTGTTTGCGCGTTTGTGCGTGTGCGCTTGCCTGCGTGAGTGTGTGAGTGCTTGCGAGTCTGCATGTGTGTGTGCTTACATGCATGTACCGTATTATCTCTAATATAAGCACGGTCCTTTATTTTTTCAATGTACCTCCGCCCCGTGCTATTAATGGAGACGTTCCTTTATTGGAGACTGTTCCATTATTATTTCAACCTCATTCCAGAGGCATGTTGCCATGCCAAATTCATGTGAGACACACACATCTCAGGGTTTTTTTCGCCGGTACAGATAATGAATTTACACAGTGTGCTTATATTGGAGACTGAGCACTTTATTTTTTGAATGCCGCCCCAAGGTGTTCTATTATTGGAGACGTGCTATTATTGGAGACTGTGCTTATATTAGAGATAATACGGTATATGCAAATGGGATGCGGTATTCTCTTCAGGGGCTGGATTTGTGCGACCACAAATCCAACAGGAGAAGCAATGAAGAAGCAACTTTCCACTTACCCGGCGGAGGAACGATTGTGCTCAGGGACATTGAAATCTGCGCTGCGTAGTACGAGTTGCGCACGCGTGGTGGATCGGCTTGGACAATGGGAGTTTTCTGTACGCAGGTCAGGCCGAGTGTAGCGCTTGACACCGTCTTCAGAAGCGTTTTCCGGAACAACACTAGCATTCCGAGTATGACGAGCAGGCAGCCGAGGGCGGCAGCGCCGCAGACGAGTTCCGCAAAGTTACCGCCGTGACCCCCGGAAGACTTGGCGTCACGGGGCACGACCGTCTTCTTGCCAGCGGTGTTGGCGTGCGGATGTGCAGGGTGTGGCAGAGGTGATGGCGCGTGTGCAGACGGTAGAGAAGCATCTTGCCCGACCTGGGGACTGTTTGGAGGTGTAGATGAGGCGCTTGACGTATTTCCTTGTGCTGGGGTAGCGCGTACCAGCTCGGTTCCTGCTTGGGTTGGTGTGTGGTCACCTGTGTGGAGTGGTGTGTGGTCACCTGTTTCGAGTGGTGTCTGGTCAGATGTTTGGAGTGGTGTGTGGTCACCTGTTTGGAGTGGTGTGTGGTCAGATGTTTGGAGTGGTGTGCGCATACTTGTTTGTGTCTGTGCGGGAGTTCTTGTTGGCGCTGGTGTTTGTGCGTTTATTTGAGTTGGCGACTGCGTTTTTGTGTGCGCTGGCGCCCGCAGGGTTGCTCGTCCTTGTGTGGGAGTGCTCGTTTGATTTCCGGCGTGAGTGCGTGTTTGGTTTGGTGTTTGTGTACTGGTCGGGGTTGTTTGCGTTGCTGGGTGGGACGGTTTGGATAGCGTTGCTGCCACGGCAGAACTCTCTTCAGCTCTATGCACGGGTGATGCGGTGGGTTTCGCATGCACTCTAGCGCTTGCAGTGGCTACAGACGGTGTCTTGGAGGCTGGTGTACCTGGTGACGGGCTTGCACCGATCCGAAATGCCGCTGTCGAATTGGAAGGTCTTTTCGTGGCATCTGGGAAAAGAATAGAAAAACGAACGCCAAAGCTCAGAGACGTCAATCTCCTAATGGCACGACAAGATGAAATATGGTGTACACATACAGTGTGACAGCTGACTGCAGCACTAAAAGTAGAATTGCTGGAAAGGTGCATCGACACTACACTATTCAGCTGTTTGTCCTTGACGCCACCCTACATCATGCACGGGTATTGTGCCAAGTTCACGGTATTGTTAGGGCACGGGTTGTACGTTTCCCCAGCACTTTGACGGACAGCAGGTTTTGGAGAGATTGAGCTGCAGAGAGTGCTCAATATCACTGGCAGAGCATAGAACATACTGTAAAAGCCGTTATTCTAACAAGGCGCATATATAACCATCTCCCAAAGTTCACTACAGTGAAATGATAACTTTTTTGCTGCGCGCAAAGTTCGTGTTTTCAAGAATTCTAACGAGGCGCATATATAACGATCTCCCAAAATTGACCACTGTAAGGGTCGTCCATAAATTTCGAACCTCTTTCACAAAACGAAATAATTTCGTTATGGGGTGGGAGGGGGTTGACCAATTTCGTTTCAGAAAACACTGATCCATGTACATGGCCGTTGTATATGCATGTATGTCAACATTTTTTACGCTCTGAGGGGGAGGGAGGGAGGGGTTGGGTCTAAACTAAAATAATTCGTTTGGTGAAAAAAGTTTGATATTTACGGACGCCCCCTAATTAAAAGCGATAATTTTTTGCGGCGCGCAAAGTTCACGTTTTCAAGAATTCTGCTCGTTCACGATGAGAAACCTTTACGATTTTATCTCTTCAGTCGGATCTTGTACTGTCTACAGTCAATGTACAGAGCAGTGTGCGACGATTTGTATTCGCGAATGCGTGATGGCCGCGAAAATAGCGAAATATAATCTCTAGCGAAAATTTCTCTCTTCACAGTTGTTTACGTGTACCAAAGGTAACCATGGTAACGGTTCTCACTCATTCTCAACGCTCAATAGGACAGTATATGTATCGATTTCTCTATAACGATTTCCATTTTTACGACAGATTTCTCCTCGTTAACTCATTCGAATCAGCACTTCGTTATTATATGGCTTTTACCGTAGCTGCTGACACTCAGTAGAGGACGTTCAGGTTGGTTGTAACTCTGAGTTTCATGCCAGTCGCCAACCATCAGACAGCTGTTACTGGGATCTACCCACCAGTACGCTTACTAGTGAACACAAATTTAGTGCTATGTGCAGAAACTAAACCTTACAAAACACAATGGAAAAATTCGTAATCAAGCGGCTGCTGGGGTTGGTCTCCCAAACTAAGCATAACCATAGTACCGCGAAACGGTCCCTACTTACTCGTTCGGCAACACACGATGAGCATGTCATCGATGTAGATATCTCCCCAGCCACCGCCGGCTCTGGTGACGAACCTTAGTTGCAACTGATATGGACAGAGGAGAAGAGAGGGGATTGGAAAGAGGCTAAGTGTCCAGTCCGGATCGCGTTCAAATGCGCTTTGTGGCAAAGCCTTTGCTGAATTCTTCCTACGAAAACACACGTCAATTATTCGTCGCTTGTCAGAGCGATTCTGGACTGGGAATTTCCGGTAACTTCAAAATATCCGTAACTCCCAATCAAATACATGTTTAAAGTAAAGAAAACGGACCAAGAAATGACAAGTTATGCTACAATGTCTGTCTGTCTGTCTGTCTGTCTGTCTGTCTGTTTGTCTGTCTGTCTGTCTGTCTGTCTGTCTATTTGTCTCTCTGTCTCTCTCTCTGTGACCTACCGTCTTCTTGCGTATACAAGCCGTGCTAGGCTTCTATCAAGCTAGGATTCTATTTGAACCACATATCTCTATATGAGCTGTCAGTATATATATAGTACAAATCAGGTTTGCATTCAGAACTTAAAACTCAGATAATGAGCCCGTAATATGGGCCGCGATCAGCTAAAACATGTCTTTGGGGTTTCGTAAAAAAGTTGAGAAATGACGAAATGAAAAGAAATGTTTTTTCGAGCGCGTTCACTCTGCACTTCGTTCATGATGTGGCGATCATCTTCTCAAATTTGGATCAAACACTAGTTTGGCGGTCTAGTTCAAGTAGCTGGCGAGCAAAGACTGACAATGTTCGTATCTAGTGACACTAGAGCAGCTCGCAGGGCCAGACGGTCGCTGTGCATGGCCCAGGTTTGGTCAGGTGTCAGCACGTCCGTGGCGGCAGGTCTGCAGAGCGATGCTGACAATGTTTTGGGATCTCAGTGATGTTGATGTCAACAGCGAAGCTGAATCGTCCCCGTCATCTCCAGTAGCGAAGAGGCACAAGTTGTGGGCGAGTACATAATCATTAGGCGGCGAACCGGCTGCCTTACGACGTTACTTGCCGTCCAGCTCTCATGAGTCGTCTGACGCAGTATCGAAAGCGCAGGCGACGATCGAAAGTGTCACTGCCAGAATCGAAAGAGTATGCAAGTGCAACGCCTCCCAGAGCATCGTGGTGCTTTCCAGGAAGAACTTGGGCCATGCCTTTGAACTGATGTCGTTGACATGCTCAAGTCTGTGTCAACATCTTTAGCTCCGTTGTATTGTGCTCCGCCACAAAAGCCATTAAGTAATAGTTTGTCTCTTTGTGCCAGACTGCGCGAAAACTGTCATTTTCTATTTTAAAGTACATATTTTGAAAGCTGTTTTGGGAGCACTAGTCTTGTAGACTACCTTTTGTTGCCCTGTATCACCTTCAAGAGGTCAAGTAAGGTCCCAAGAACTGTTTTCTGGAGGAAAATAAAATTTGAAAAATTTCACTCTAAGACATGTTTTAGCTGGTTGTGGCCCATAATTTTTTTTTTAAAGAAGAAGAAAACACAAGGAAACTAGGCATGAGGTACATATCCACGACTGTAACAAGATAATAGAGAGGTTGCGATTTTGACACTCCGGGCTCGAGTAACGAAAGTTGCCACGAAGATTCGTCCAAACGCGACCGAACAACAGCAGATCTGCGAAAAAAATCCGTTACCTGGAATACTAAAATACTGATATTTTACAACTCCCTGTCTTGACTCTTTGCACCCCCGCGGCTGTTGCGTCGAGCCACTACGAAAAAGTTCACGCGTTTGCGCAACCTCCCGGTTTACGAATGTTCTTTAGCTTTTTCGTTAAAAATATTTGTTACGACGCTACGAATTTTCGTTGTTCGCAACCTCTGTAATAAGCGGTGAGAAAGACTGACTACAGTCATAGAGAGTTGCTTCACTACTCGTTTCCTTGTGTTTTCTTCCACTATACGACTCTAGAGTTTATCTATCAATCAGTATCTTTCTCTCTCTCTCTCTCTCTCTCCGTCCGTCCGTCCATCCGTCTGTCTCTCTCTCCCTCTCTCCCTCTCTCTCTCTCTCTCTCTCTCTCTCTCTCTCTCTCTCTCTCTCTCTATCTCTCTCTCTCTCTCTCTCTCTCTCTCTATCTCTCTCTCTCTCTCTCTCTCTCTTTATCTCTCTCTCTCTCTCTCTCTCTCTCTCTCTCTCTCTCTGTATGTCTGTCTCTCTGTCTGTCTGTCTGTCTGTCTCTCTCTCTCTCTCTCTCTGTCTGTCTGTCTGTCTCTCTCTCTCTCTCGTCTACCTCTGTGTTTCCTCCTGTTGAACATGCATTTTCAACAAGTTATGATCTTCTCATCCTTACCCTCATCCGACCACTAAAACTTCGGAATGGGCACAAGCGACTCTGAACTCGGTGAACATTAGGCCCAGTACCGTTGGCTTGACTTGCGGACATGTTGAACAGCAATCGATTGTGGCCCGTGGCGATTTCGTACACGACCAGCGCACCGTCGACGAAGTTCGACGCCATCACGCTGAAGGTGATGTTGCATATGCCGCGCATGTATGCCTGAGGCAAGAGGCAAGACATGCAGGACAAAGAGAAAGTAATCATTAACTGAGTGGTATTACGGATTAAAAGAGAGGACACAATGTTACGAGTTATGACTAACTGTCGACCAAAGTAACCAGATCTTATACAGCCAGCGAGTGCGACAACAAGGCACAAACTGACAAGCAGTGCTGAGACATTCGACGACCAGACACCTAGATCCAACACATCTCCGAGTCATAACTTTTAACCTTTTGCCCTCTCTTTTAAGCCATAATTGCTTTGGCTCAACATCCGAGTTTGAGGGCTATTACATATCTATTATTGCACGATTAAAGAAGTCTGTAGTAACTGGCCTTTCTCCACCTGCTCCCAGTCCCGTGCCATCTCCACACTTGTACAAAGGGGACGACGATGACTACATTTAGAAGACTGTTTATTGACACGACGAAGAAACACAACTAGACAAGACGAACTCAAGACGAAGACTACTTTTCATACTACAGCAACACGCGCATGCGCCAAACATGATGTACACGCGACGTATACAAAATAACGTACTATACGGTAGAAAGTCCGTCTACTACAAAGTCAATATATGAAATATAGAACGAGTGAAAGACCGAGGTCCCCCGAGGTGTTTTACGAGGTCTATATTGGAGCTAGGTGTCAGGTCGCCAAATGTCTTAGTGCTCCTTGTTAGTTTGTGCCGTCTTGTCGCACTCGCTGACTGTCTAATACCTGGTTACGTTGGTGGACAGTTTGTCATAACTCGTGACATTTTGTCCTTTTCCTTTCTTTCTTATTAGCCTTGTAGTTACGGCAACCGCTGATGAGTGTCCCAAGAAAACGTTGTGCTTACTTTACATTGGATTTCCTTGTGAAGTGTGTGTTTGGTGATGACGGCACATCTAACCGTATTCACAGCCATGCTATTACATTGCACGCATATTCCTTTCCAGGACAGGCGTGTAACTCCTGTACAGTCAGCGTAGTCCGGTCAGTGGCGGTCACCACACCAGCCAATGGCCGTCATAGGTGCTACCATAGTGATAATAGGCAAATTGGCGGCTATGAGGTTGCCGGTGATACATGGTGACCACAACACAGATGTGGCTCTGGTACATGGTCACCACACCACAGATGTACAGTCTACACCCTGCCGACATGTTCACCTCTACAATTCAGGCCGTGGTCATACTACGATCAGCAAGAGGTTTTAGGGCGCGTTCAGACTGGCGTGAATAGCCGCCGGAATGCTGCAGCATAATCCCGGGAATCGCAATCACACTGCACATGTATCCGGCTGGAATGGCCAGTACATGTGAGGCTTCGACATTTGAAAAATTTGAGTTGACTCAGTTTGAGTTGGATATCAAAAATAAACTAATTCAGTCTGTTGAAATACTGGATCATTGTGCTTTTGCTTGTGCTTGTCGACGGAAAGAATACTATGTCCGGAGTGTTTGGTGCTTGGGTGGCATTCATCCGCTCCGCGATCAGAGTATGCTTCTCGTTCGCAGCAAGCGTTTTGCCTGCAGAGCGGCCCGCAAAAATCACCACGTACAGCTCCATGAACTCCCTCTCCATTGCTGAGTCGAACAAAGATTTCGGCATGATGGGAGAAGTTGGCAGTCTAGAAGTCAAACCTCAAAACTCAAAAGCATGCAGTCAGACTGAAAGCGAGGCTGAAATAAAACGAAAAGACGGAACATGTGCTGCAAGGATATCAAAAGCGCTCCGCGTGCCGCCGGAATCTGCATTCCACCGGCCTGCAGAGTGGTGGGAAACCTTCTTCCGTGTTTACCCTGGCGGGAACGTCACGTGAGCGATTCACCTTCACAACTTTCACATTCCGCTGGCTTTTTACGCCAGTCTGAACGTGCCCTAAAAGAGCCCAGAGTGCGCAACTCTGCATTTGTGACCTCACAGCGCAATTCAAGACTACTCGATGACATAATTATTATTACCACAAAGTACCGCCAGAGAGCCCTGCCTCGCAGGATCGCCCACCTTGATTTTACAGCCAGGGAAAGGAATACCGTATGGCAGAATGCAACAAAGTGTGTACACTGAGCAGGTTTTTGTGTGGAGCTCGTGTCCACTCGAAGGCTCGGATTGTCTGCAGAACGTGCAGTATGTGTACACAGTCCGTGTCGCATGACCTACAGACCGGAGACCACCGCCACAATACGACCACGAGAGGATGAGATGGTGGGGTGCTCTGGCGGTACTTTACTTTACATCTACTGACAGCTTGCGATGCAGTGCCATTGACGTCCTGCATCAGTCATGTCTCATTGGATGTACCGTGAACAGTACATAGCCAAGAGTGTGCAAGGATCCAGCTGTGATGGGTTCACCCATGGCGGAATGTTTTTTTTAATTGTGTCGACCTTTCCCGCTCTTGTCGTGTAGATACTGTGCGAGTTCATGATTTTCAGGACACATCGATCTATCGTTCGTTTTTCTGCTTTGACTACCGTAGCTGTCACGTAAAATCTGTTTGTACTTTGATCTCGGGCGACGCATGAAGAAAAAAGTTAAACATTTTGGTCGTTAAACTTTCTGGTTTTACAGTATATCATGGTACTTAGGGGGCGTTCGAATTGTCTTCATCAACTGTTCAAACAAATTTTATAAAGAGATTAGGGGCCGTCCAAGGTTACCAATAATATTTTCAAAATGAAAAGTTTTCGTTTGGGGGTGGGTGGGTTTGATGGAGTTTCGTTTTGAAAATAAT